AGAGCAGGTTATAACACAATATACACACATTGGCCTCATTTCAAACTGCATATGTGTATGTGTGTGTGAAACCACACATCCGTGAGTAGAAATAGTCCTGGAAAGAGAACCTACGTTCTCTCTGGATGGTAGGATTATAGGTGATTTGAGATTTTTCTTCCCCAGGCTTTCTACAGTAAATGGTTTCCTAATCAGAAAAACATGTTCCGTTATTTTTAAAAGTTCAATCTGCACGGACCAGAAGGGGAACTTCTCTCGGACCCCTGCCAGCATCCTCACTGCAGTGGGAAGTCGCTGCAGGCTGATGCCTCCCAGCAGACCGGGTGGAAAGGCGAAAAGCCCGAATTTGGGAGAGGGGACGCCCACCGCCTCCAGGCTCGGCACTCACCGGAAGTGCGGGCATGAAAATCAGCACGTATTCGTGGGTGAGCCTGCAAGAGAACAGAAGCTCCAGAGCGGGCAGGCTGTGCCCTCCTCGCCGGTGCACCCTGGGGACCCCGGGTTTGCGGAGAGCTCTCCCAGGCCCTGCAGGTATCCGCCAGGACCAGTGGGTGCTGCCAGAGGAGGACCCCCAGGACCACCACAGGGGCCTCGGGGCCAGGGGGCTTGCATTTGGAGTCACGTGTGGCTTGTAAGGGGGTAAAAAATGTTCTCTGATCAAGAACTAGCACATGAGTGCACATACTGTAAAGTGAACAAGGCACTCCATGAGGGACGTTTCTAAAATTAATAAACCGTGTAGTTCATCAGAAATTGGTTCGGTCCTCTTTCTCCTTTTTGGAATATGGGTAGTGCACGCTTCATGTCTTTTTGTTAATCCTCACCGAGGATATTTCTCCATTGATTTTTAGAGAGGGGGAAATCGATGTGAGAGAAACACATTGCTTGGTTGCCTCCTCGCGGGCCCTTGAGCAGAATAGAACCCCGGGCCCTTCGGCCCACAGGCCGACGCTCTATCCACTGAGCACCCGCTAGGGCCACACTTGTTTCCTCAAAAAGCATCTGTGACGTTCCAGCTGGTGCTGGGACACAAATGCAAACACGCAAATCCCTATTGGCCTCTCCTCCCAGATTAAAACCTGCCGTTTGTCTGCCCCCTGCTGGTCGCAGGCAGAGCAGCATGCGGTGCGGAAGACACCCCAGCCCTAACCTGGACCCCGCCCCCAAGCGGCACCTGTGTGTTTCTGACCGGGAAGCGGGGCGCCCGGGGGCGGGGGGCTCCTTTAGGGTCCTCTCCCCCCGCCCCCGACCCCACCACCCACCCCAGTCCTTCCGGAGCGCCCGAGGAAGGCAGGCGCTATTTCCCCTCGCGGCCGAGGCCGGGGTCTGGAGAGCATTCGCCAAGTCACCTGCTAGTAAGTGGCAGCAGGGCCCAACCCAGGTCCCCAGGTCCACCCGAAGCCCAGAACTCGGGTCCTGAGGCTGGGCGCCCTCAAAATCTGACACATGAGCAGGGACCCTCTCCACCCCTTCCTGCCAGGATCGCTGCCCGGCCGGCTTCGGGGAGGTCTGTGTTCCTGGCAGCACTCGGTCCTTAGGGAGCAGGTGGGGGGGCGGGGGAGGCAGCTGCCCCACCGGGTCTGCTTGACAGGCTCCCACTCCAGGGAGCACCGAGGAGCCTTTGGGGGTCCCCACCCCGCTTTGGGCAGCATGGAGGGACGGCTCTGCCCTGCCCGGCTCCAGGAGGCCCGCCTACCTGGGACATCAAGGTATCACATGCCGAGGAAAAGCCCAGGCCCACGGAAACTCCGCAGACATTGATGAACTGATGCCAACGGGAGGAAACAGGCTGGTCAGGCGCTGCCCAAGGAGGGGCCTGCATCCGGGCAAGGCCGCCCAGCAGCAGCTGAGACCCCTCCCGGCGGCCTGCCCGCAGGCTGTGTGCCATCTGGTGAGGGGTCCGTCCCGCTGGGATGCAGCTGTCAGCCCCTGTGCTGGGTCTTGCGGGGGGCGAGGAGGGGTGGGGGCAGGGGACATCCCTCCAGTCCCGCCTGTACTCACGGCCACGGAGAGGGTCACGGACGCCAGCTCCACTCTGCCCAGGTGCCCACAGAACACCGAGCTCACGACGTAGATCATGAAGGACAGCACCTGGAACAGGAACTGGACAGGGCAGCCTGGGTCAGGGGCGCCTGGCACAGTCCGCGTTTACCAGGGACCCGCAGAGCTCCCTGAGCCCCGGCACAGCCCACACCCGGGAAGCTGTGTGCTCAGCCGGCCCAGCAGCCAGGGCCGGAGCCAGGAGGCAGCGCTGCTCCCGCTGTGCCCTCCACAGCTGTGTGGACCCCCGGCTGCAGGTTTATTGCCTAAACGTGCAGCCATGAGACACCGGGCAGGAGCCCAGCACTAACGCAAGCATTCGCCACTGCTGCCCAGGCCATGGAACCATTGGCCAGGCCACAGATAAACAAAAAGAGGAATAAAATCCATCCAAATCTTAGCAATGGCCCTGGCCAGTGTGCTCAGTGGTTAGAGAGTCCACTTGCTCACTAAAGGGTTTCGGGTTCGATTCCAATCAAGGGCATGTACCTGGGTTGCAAGTTCGATCCCCAGCCTGGTCGTGGTGCATGTAGGAGGCAAGCAATCGATGTGTCTCTGTCACATCAATGTCTCTCTCTCTCCCCTTACCCCCTCCTCTCCACTCTCTCTGAAAATCAATGGAAAAAATATCCTCAGGTGAGAATAAAAGAACAGTCTTAGCAAGGACTATGTCCAGGTGGTGGGATCAGAGATGAATTTCTTTCTTCTTTATAACTTTTTGTTTTGTCTGAAACTTTTACAAGGAACACATATCAATTAGCTTTTGTGATTAAAAAAAAATGTATCTGAAGACAGTTTCCTTTGTCGATAAAAAGGGCAGCACCCGGCTGGTGTTGCTCAGTGGTTGAGTGTTGACCCATGAACCAAGGGGTCACAGTTGGATTCCCGGTCAGGGCACATGCCCGAGCTGTGGGCTCGGACCCTGGTAGCGGGCGTGCAGGAGGCAGACAATCAGTGATTCTCTCTCATCATGATATTTCTATCTCTCTCTACCTTTCCCTTTCTCTCTGAAATCAATAAAATATGTAAATAAATAAATACATACATGAAAAGGGCAGCGACCCCCTTCCCCTGCACACACCTCTCAGGGGAGGCCTGTGGCTCCTGCATCAGTGGCTCTCACTTGTCACTCTGAGACCTCCCACGCACACCTGCCTGTGGGTTTCTGAAGGACAGGAGGTCCCTGCTAAGCGTGGCCGGCCCCACCTCTACCCCCGGCACCGTCCAGGGACGGCCGTCCGCGGTCACCTACTCTGGGCGGCAGCCCCTGGTGCAGTCTGAAGGTGGCCAACCGGGGGAGTTTCTGGGGAAGGGTCGTGGGCAGCCCCTGGCACACCCAGGTCATGCCGGGAGCAGCTGGCCCCGCCCGCCCCGCATGCCCCCTCCTTACCAGGGGTCCAGACAGGACGAAGAGCCTCCACGCCTCAGCCCGAAAGCCCACGGGGACCAGCTTGCCGAGGGCTGGGCCGCAGCCCCCGCGCTCCGGGCGCACTGCGTCCTGGAGGCTGTCCATTCGAGCCCTGGCTGCTGGCTGGGCTCCCGCGCCTGAGCACCCCTTGGCCAGCCTCACCCAGCAGCCGAGTCACCTTGCAGCCTGGCTAATGAGTAAGGAGAGGGAGGAGGGCTGCCTTGAAGACCAGCTGTGGGGTAAGCCTCGCCCCCTGGGCAGCCCACTGGCCCTGGCCCCGGGCCAGGAAAGGGCAGTACAGAGCCCTGGCCGCCTGGGAGGCACCTGGGCTGACGCCTGTGGGGGCCTTGTGTCTGCTCTCCCCCCGGGTCAGCAGCTAGAGCTCGGAGGGGGGGTTGGGGGCAGAGCAGGGGTGTGCTGGGCGAGGTGGGTGGCGGGGACCCTGGGAGCCTCACACGTTGGTGTGGTCGTGCCCAGTTGGCGCCCATTTCACAGATGAAGAAATGGAGACAGAGCCAGGCCACAGAGCCCAGGCTCCAACCAGGTGGGCTGCCTCAAGAACCCTGCCCTGAGGAGGGAGGGTCAGGTGGGAGCCTGCGGTGGGGGCTGGGGCTAGGATCCCTGAGCAGAGACCCCTCGCCCTCCTTCTGCCCCCACCCCGTAGGGCGGCAGCCCTGAGAGCCAGGGGCCCTGCCTGGGCAGCCAGCCCCCTGCGCTTGGCATCTGCTTTGCTCAGTGAAGCCGTCACTGGGCCTCCTGCCAGGTTCCTTCTGCCGCCCCCCCCACCCCCCAGTCTACAGTCTCTTCCCGTCTAAGAGGGTTGGTGCGCCCCCAGGACAAACAGGCAGCCCCCACTGGGGGAGCTCCGGCCTGGATGGGGCTTTGAAGCGTGTGCTGACCCAGGAGAGGAGGCGTGAGTGAGGGGCCAGCAGGACGGGCAGGCAGGACAGCTGGCTTGGGGGCGAGGCTCCGGTCCCCCGACGCCCAGCCGGGGGCTGCATGGAGGGAGGAATCCGGACCCAAACAGGAGGTGCTCATCACTCCCTCCGCGGCGGCCGCCAGCGTGCCCGCCCCCAGGCACGGGAGCCTCTCACAGTGTTCACTGGCCCACGCCCCCGGGCACGGGAGCCTCCTCTCACAGAGTGTTCACTGGCGTGGGCCTCTGGGCACAGGAGCCTCTCACAGTGTTCACTGGCGTGGGCGTCCGGGCACCTGGGCGCTGTCCTCTCCCTCATCCACCCAGCGCCGTTGGAGCGCTCCGCAGCCCGTGCCCTGAACAGGACATTTACCACCAGCACGAGGAACGAGAAGAGGTGGTGCCCCTGCAATGGCTAGTGTACGGCTCAAAGGGCGGGGGCAGCGCTCAGCTGTGCTAGGTGCCAGGTGCGCACCCCTCCAGGGCCCGGGCGCTCAGCTGTTTGGCTTCCTCTTCTGAAAGGGTGACTGAGCTGTCACCATGGACCTGAGCTGGGTCCCTGTCACGTGAAGGGCCGGAGGCTGGCAGTGGTGCCTCCTGTCAGCTGGCACTGCCACGCGGGGACGTGCGTCTCCTCCCCGGACCCTCTGTGCAGCCCGGGCCTCCGA